TTTGACAGAGAGAGACACAGCGAGAGAGGGAACACAAGCAGGGAGAGTGGGAGAGAGAGAGAAGCAGGCTTCCCGCGGAGCAGGGAGCCCGATGCAGGGCTCGATCCCAGGACCCTGGGATCATGACCTGAGCCGAAGGCAGACGCCTAACGACTGAGCCACCCAGGTGCCCCACGACAGTATTTTTTAATTGCAATTTACACATATATTTTCACTAAATTGTCAGCAGCCAGAATGTCAAAAAATAGCCATTGAGGAATCTTTTTGGTTGAAAGTTCAGGCTATTTACTCTACAATGGAAAAAGTACTTGATGCATAACATGCATTTGTTTATATTTCTATATCAGCTTTTAGAGGTTATTGGCAATGTATTGAAACTAGGGAGAAAAATGTTCCAGAGACAAGTCTGCAGTTCATCTGAAAAAAAAAAAAATCCATCACTAAAATAGTTTAGTAGTTTTCAAGTTTATATGTGTGTTTAGGATTGAATCCATTGAATTGTAGTGTTTTTCTTTTTTTACTCCCCAGCTATTGCACTATAATGAATTCCTGGGATCTTGAGTTGGGGAGAGAAGAGGAAGAAGCATATATGAATGTGGGTACGTATGTATGCACGTATGTATGTATTGCTAAAGCTGCCAGGAATATATTGTCAGGAATACTTAAGGGGTGAATTACTGTGTGTATGTCAGTCCTGCTCAGTTCCTAGCACATGTTAGGAACCAAATCAGGGTGGTTGCTGTTTGATTTTTCCTAGCTTTCCTTGGCCAGTATGCTTACCATGGTGACTCAATGACTGCTGTGGGATTTGGTGCAGACTGATGCACTCAGGTCTGTTGCCTGAATCATTTGTTACTATGATAGTTATCAAGTGTTTCTTTCCTTGCTTTTACAAGCTAAATTTTATTAATTTCATACCTTATGTAAGACTTATCTTTTTTATCATTTCATTTTATTTATTTTTTCATCTGATAAGTGTACTCTTTAATCTCCATCCCCTATTTCCCCCACCCTCATCCCACCTCCCCTCTGGTAACCATCAGATTGTTCTTTTTTTTTTTTTAATTTTATTATATTATGTTAGTCACCATACAATACATCATTGGTTTTTGATGTGGTGATCCACGATCCACTGTTTTCGTATGACACCCTGCGCTCCATGCAGTACGTGCCCTCATTAATACCCATCATCGGGCTAACTAATCCCCCCTCCCCCCTCCCTTCTAAAACCCTGTTTGTTTCTCAGAGTCCATAGTCTCTCATGGTTCATCTCTCCCTCCAATTCCCCCCCCACATTTTTCCCTTCCTTCTCCTAATGTCCTCCATGCTATTCCTTCTTTTCCACAAATAAGTGAAATTGTATGATAATTGACTTTCTCTGCTTGACTTATTTCACTT